GTCAATTCTGCCTTCCATAAACTCGAATTTGTTTTCTATTATGCAGGCAAGATGATGAACTCCAAGTTCCAAGTTACACTTATGCCGAGATTATCAAGCATTCTGCTTGATGTGTTCCGGCTGTCATCAGATGTTTGCTCTTTGAGCGCTGAAAAGAGAATAAGTTCGAAGTGTGAGTCCAGAAGGGCAGGAGCTAATGGCGAAGGGGCGTGACCAGTTGTCACGTGGGCTGCAAGCTGACTTATCATTGGTTACGAGTCTTCTGAGAAATACCTCGCTAAAATTGCAATTAAATACAGTACAAAACATATATGAATGTAGAAAAAGTGAAATTAATTTCAAAAATCAGTCTTCTAAATTATGTACATATGCGTATTATCCAACTCGTCAGGAGATAAACACAAGACACGGGAAGAAGAGCCCGTAAATCATGCCAATGTCAATATCGTGATCAATACAAAATTGTTGGAATTCACCAATTCGATTATGGAGGCCATTGGCGTTCCAGAAAACGAAACGGATAGTTGTCAGCCGTCTGGTGTAATTATCCATGAATTTGGGAGTCCGGATTTCGTTCCTGATGTGTAGTTGAGTTTTCATCAATTAATTTCTTGCACAGAAAAGGAATTCCAGATTCCTTAATGAAGGTGACCAACATACTTAGTTGTTGGAACATTTGTTTGGCCTCTGTCATCATTTTCATAGCTTCCGGAGCGAGTCCCGTAGTTAATGCCTGAGCATATGATTTATTCGTCACTATACGTTCATTGAACGTTTTAGCTTTGGGAGTCACTTTCTGCTGTGGAAATTTCTCACATCCTCTATAGTTGGCTGTGTGTCCAACTTGCAAACAGTTGGCACATTTCGGAGGTTCAGATTTATCCTTTGAACAATTGAAAGTTTCGTGCGCCTCAGCGCAACGAACACAACGCGGCTCGTGATTGCAGTTCGTTTGCGAGTGGTGGAACCCTTGGCAGCGATAACACTGCAAGGGTCCCGCTCTGCCCTTGTAATCCTCAACTTTGATTTTCATTCCCATAAGGAAAGATTCTTGATGGATTCTCTTATTTTTGTCATTTCTCTTAAGAGTAATGAGAAAGAGGGGGAGGTTGATTACATCACCATTTCTTCGTCTTTTCAATTGGTTGACACGGATGACGTCATAATTTTTGGCGACTAATTCTTCAGCAATTTCATTAATGTCCATGTAAGCCGGTAAATGCCGGATTACTACTTTTAAATTTTTAGGATGCAGGTAGCTCAAAACAGTGGAAACTCACCTTTTCATCTTTCAGAATTTTCTGGACTTGTTTAAAAATAGTTGGTTATTTTTACCAATATCTTGAATCCGTCCTGGATTTGCTGACCGAAGTAGTCACTTTCAGAGTACAGTCCATGCTTTCTTTAAGAGCGCTCTAGCTTTATTCCAGTTGAAGTTGGTATCTCTTACAATGAAGGGGCGGAAGCCGTCCGCCATTCTTGTTAGGATTTACTTGAATTCCGGTGGAATTTCATCTATTTTTCCATCATCAATGGGTGCTGTTTCCATGGATTCTGGTTCAGCAGTTGTGGGATCATCTATAGGCGAATTAGGGTTCGTTGCGGCTGCTTGGAGTGGTGCCGGCTTTCTGATTGGTTGCTTTCGGGGTCTCCGGGTGGTATCTCCTCTGGAAGCGCAGTCGTCAGTGTCCGAACTAAGATGATGAACTGAGATGTTTTCCTCCTTTTATAAGATTTTAAAATCACGCGCTAGATTTTTCTAGTACTTTCTCGAAATCAAAAAAGAGATATTTATTTATGTAATGCACGCGCTCTTGTATTTTCAATTTTCCTGGCTTAGCTTTCTTTTAATATTCGTCACGCGCTGCACTACACGAGAAATAAAACCATTTAATTTATAATTTAAAAAGCTAATCAAATTCGTAGCAATATATTTTCTAATATGCTAAAATTTTAAACAGCAATTGCATTAGTTAGAAATCAATGTTCGTAAGTATACCTTCAGCAATAAATTTCACTTACCAATTTTTTTAAGGAAGGTTAAATTCGTAATTTACATTGATGCTACTGCACCAAATTCTTGCAAATACTGAGGATATATAGTTAAAAAAATATTTACATAATTTTCAGAGTTTGATCGACTTTCCCGCTACAAAATTTTTAAACACGCAACCTAAGAAATGTTGATGCTGATTCTCAGATCATATTTAGCTTACCCTGGAAGTAAGCCGGCATCAGGGATGCTAACTTCTCGTGTTGCTCTAGACATACATATAATCTTTGACTGCTCAAAAACTTAAACATTAACATATTGTTACAAATCGGAAATCATAAAGATAACATAAACTATAAACCGACTCGTATTTTGCATAATGAATGTGTTAAGCTGCATTCTTTCAAACAAATACGGCGGAAGATATCATTTTAATTAGGTGTTTCGGACTACACGCAGGTTATTTTCTTGTGTTATATGAATACAAGCAAGTTCCTCTTAAAAAGGCATAGTTACTTATCCGATGCGTGCTGCAATCTACACAAATTTGCTCATTGTTTGTAATAGCCTACATTTTTATAAAGTGCCCAAAATAAATATTAAAAAAATATATAAAGTATCAACAGATTAAATAATTGCTATTTATCGACATAAACGTCATTGGCTTTCACAGAAACTCTTTAGCAATCGCTTCGATGGCAGAGTCCAATTGTTTCTTTCACCATATGAATTCTGCTAAATATGGTGGTTAATATTGCCAGGCAGTTTTGCGTTTTTATTATTATTATTATTATTCCTCTTTTTGGCTAATCCACATAGGCATTCTACTATCTGCCAATCAAAGCCCATTTCTTGGTCTATAATTTTGAATCTGTGATTTACTTTGAAGTGAGAAAAACTTACTTTTTCGAGTTTGTCCATCTTATACGCCTCCAACAGTCGGAACAGATAATGGACCTTTCGTGTACATTTTTTTTAATACATTTGAGCAGACACTCTACACCTTTGTTTGGAATAGCAACAAGGAATGTATCTTCTGTATTGCGGGAAATTCCTCCAAAAACCAAAATACTCAAGCGTTATTCTTCCTCTTGGTGAAAGGACCTTTCGTCTATTTTGACGATTTTCCCTGGTCCTACTATCTTCTTCGGTTCTCGTTCCAAAAGTCTTCGGTGCAAATTTACCGTAGATAATTGTTTGAATCACCGTAATTGTTTGATAATTGTTTGAATACCGTAGATAATTGTTCGACAGTAGTGCGTGAAGTGTGAAGTTCTTTCTCGCAAATTTTGATGGAAGTCAATTCAATCGAATCTTATGGCAGTTGTGAAGGGGAAACTAGAATTCTCAAAACAATTGCCTTTCCTGATGGTGATTTAATTATTACAAGCATGATATCTCCAACTAACTTTGTATTTCTTGATAAACAAAATCATACTACGGAGACTAGATCATTTTCACTGCAAAGAGATAATGCCACATAGTTAAGAAATACGCTTTAAATCTGTTTCGCTATTTGGAACATCAAAAAGAAGCACCGTTACAACGAGGAACTTGGAAAGCCAGAACAAAATACGAAAAAGAAATGGCCGCCATAAAATAATGCTTACAAATGTTTAAAGATACTTAAAAGATTAACACGTTTACAGGTTACTTACATGGTTAAGAAAACATAGTAAGCTTCAAAAAACTTAAAATCCTTAAAAAAACCCTGAAGAATTAAAATTCATTGACCTATAAAAAATTGGGGAAAGTGCAAAATCACCCACTGCTTGACGTGTTTTTAAGAATTTTACAAACTCGGTATCCATGTACACATCGACCTACTTTCACTTAAAAAAAAATCCCAGAATTGCACACTCCTTTGACTTTATCCATCGACCAATTTTCACTTAAAAAGTCAAAGAAAATTGACAAAAATCCAATTCTTCAATTCTTCTTACTCTTGTAAAAAGCGCCAAACAAATAAGTGCGAAATTGGAAATGCTTTCAAAAAAAAAAAAAAAAAAAAAAAAAAAAAAAAAAACCCTAATAGCTTTAAAAATTTAAATCGTTTCAAAAACGTAGTAAGTTTAAGAACATAAAAATCCTTACAAAACCTGAAAAATTAATACTTTCATTTCCAAAAAATTTTAAGCCGTTACAAAAACATAATTTTAAAAACTAAGAATCGTTTCAAACACTTAAAATCGTTACAAAATACTGAAAATTTTAAATACTTTCACTTACCTGAAAAGGGGTAATCCACTCCGCTCAGCCGATGAACGAAAGGTAACGAATTCTCAAATTATTGTTTAAAATAACTGCACCTCTACCATCTATTATCGTCTACACCAATCAGAAATTCTAAATTTTAAAATACATACTAAGCACGAGCGAAATGCTCCGAATTTCGCGCTCAAAAGAAATTCTTAATTTAAAATACATACTACGCATGCGCGAAAATGCTCTGAAATTCGCCTTCCAGGACGGTAAAATCGACTTGGATACCACATTAGGCGCACTTATCAATCTCGTAAAATAGCGCCAAATAAGTGGGCTATTTTGCACTTTAGCCCAATTAAACAGCATGAAATAGAAATATATATATTCGGCAAATACTATTTTGAAAAGGCATTTATGTACTCATACAGGAAGAATTATAGAAGAACATACCAGGAAGAATTAATCCTCAAAAATTGTTTAATGATACTACGACAAAGGCTATGAATTTCAGAAAATCAAAAAGTCGCCAAACTAACGAAAACAAAACAAATCTGGCAATTTTTGCATTAAATTTTTTCTTTATTATTAAATATGAAAATATCCGCCGCTATTTAAAAACAAAATATTTATTTAGAAATAAAATGTTAAGCAAAAAATATGGGGCAGAAATGAAAACTTAGAATTAAAAAATACAGCTTGAAAAACTGCGAAACTCCGTAGAGAAACATTATACCGGAAGTAGAATTCCCAGTTCCGGTTGAAGCATTGTTTGTTGTTGTTTACATCGAAAACTTGGTCAATACCCATGACTGAGGCGTGAGTTTTCCAAATGGGAGGCAAATCAAGGAGATTCTCATGTTTTATTTGACTATTCTTTAATTAGAATGTTGTGCTTATAACAAGCCTCATACATCAAGCATAATTTTTTTAACATTTTATTTCATAATTATTAATATGGCAGACGGCAACAGCGCAAATGTTTAATCATGTCTTCTTTAGTTGAAGCAATAGCGAGACAAGCACAGTCTACGTTTTCCAAAACTTTAACCGATGAAAGTTTCTCTGAAAAGTTTTCGAAACTTATTCGATATGTAAGTAGAGTGCGAGCATCGGACTTAAGGATAAGTCGAGATGTTATGCGAACTGTCAATAGAGATAATACAAATCCTGTGGCACCAGTTACTTATATTGAAGTCACTGAGAATAATACTTTTTCTATGGGTATATTTATGCTTAGAAACGGGACTAAAATACCATTACACGATCACCCGGGTATGCATGGTGTATTGAAAGTAGTCTTAGGTACCGTTAAAATTACCTCGTATAGTCCTGTGTCAAAGGTTCCTGTCGATAGTAAATTACCTCAAGATATCGAAAATGAAATTCCTCCTTCAGAGAGGAAATCGCTGATTCCCGTGGAAAAAAGTATGTCAGCAAATGTCTCTGATAAAGATGAACCTTGCGTATTACGACCGAGAGAAGGTAATTACCATGAAATTTGTGCAGTCGGTGGTGTTGCTGCGTTTCTGGATATACTAGCACCTCCTTATGAAGCTACTAACAGAGACTGCCACTATTACACTGCATTTGAAACCAGCAGTACTGATTCTGAAGTGAAAGTCTGGTTGAAGAGAAGGGGTGCTCCGAGTGACTTTTGGTGCGAAGCAGCTCCATATAATGGACCTAGAGTGTATTTATAAACGAATGTACTTTTAAAAAAGTAAGCAGCACTAATTTCATTGTAAGTTCTAGAGGTTATCTGTGAAATATCTGTATTTTTGAGTGTAAAAAAAAAAAAAACTTAATTACAAGTGTTTCTATTATGACTTGAGATACCTGAGTATGTAAATTTAGTTGTGCCTGGAACTTGTATAAAACAATTACTGTTAACTTTGTATTTTGTTGATTGCTGAAATTATGTTGCAAGTTATATTTATTTGAATACACTAATGTGGAGGGCAATATTTGTGACCTAAATTAAATACGATTTGAATTTTACTCCTCTAATTTTGTCAGTTTCAGTCTGTGATGTATATCTCATTCATGAAGAAAACAGTGCAAAAAGTAATGAGCAATGTTTTATGGTAATATATATTGTCTTTGATTATTGTAACTTCAGCTAATATAATACTGTAATATTCAGCTTGCAGAAGGCAGAATCCTGTTTTAAGATATAAATACAAAACTCGTGTATATAATTGATAAAGCAATATATCGAGTAGTGTATTAAATATAATGTACAGTAAATACACATTTGAAATTTTAATTATTTCATTACTTTTATTTAATTATTATTATTTCCTAAAACTAATCTTAAACTGAAGTAGAATACTAAAACCAGTTGGTTTTCATGTAAGAAAGCTATAAATGATATTAATTTAAATTCAATATTTGTTAGTAAGGTTTTTGTTTAAGTAAGTTTATATAATTATCATAGAAATATTTATATATATTATATATATATATATATTTATTATATAAAGTAAAAATTATTCTAGATTATTTATCATAAAAAAATTCCTGATTGTCAGTTAACCATTTGAAATGGGATTAACTCATTAAGATCCTTAATTGATTATCTTTCCCCTTTTCGAAATCCTTGCTTTTTTCACATGGCTTTTTAGGGTTCATCTGAAAGAGAGTCGTCATTTACAAAAGAAGAAAATGTGGGATTCTTGTCTAAATTGTTAGTGGTTTTCCTTATGAGGAAATTTTAAAGTGCGTTGATTTCAATCAGACTACAGTGATACCAGAAGGATTATATAGATATTATCTATATGAGAGAGAGAAATGTGATCATTCTCCATATTATAGCCATACCTTCTAAAAAAATTACGAGATTTCAAGTAAGGTATTAATCTTAACAAATTAAGTGCCTTTATAAAATAATAAAAATTAATTCTATTATATTTTGAAGTTATGTTATAAAATTCGTCCATATCTATTATTTTATAGTTTTTTTAATTTATGAGCTCTCCATCTAATTTTTTAACACATCTAAAAATTTTTTTATAGATTTCATGAACATATTTTCTTAAATTTACAAATATTCATGGCTTCATTCACTTGGTGCAGTAAACACAAACGTTATTACGTTATTTACTGTCATATTTCCTTGTACTGTTTAATTTGTTTTTCAGTATATTTTATTGAAATTATCCAAATTCTTTAAAATTTTCTCTATGGAAGGAATAGTTAAAGAAATAAAAGATCTTTGCTACATAAATGATCAAAAACTGAAACTATATGGAAATGTTAAAATTTAAATTGCAGAAAAATTAAACTTTTAAGTGCAAATTAATATTAAAACTTTGCATGAAAGTGTAATTCTTAAGAGTGAAAACTAACAACTTAAAATATGCAGTATTTAGTTTAAATAAGACTTTTACTATACATTGTTTGTATATTTTGTATTGCAATTTTTTTTTTTTTTTAACCAAAAAGCTTTCACATCAAAAGGAGAAATTTGTGCAATGTATATAGTTTTTGAAAGAATGTGAAGAATTTACAAGATAATTACAAATGAGATTATCTTTGAATTCTGAAGCTGTGAGAATGAAAATGGAATTATAGGGTAAACCAGATTCTTAACACAAAGACCTTTGAGTGATAAGCGGTTAAGACTCCAGGGACATCAAACTTGACATTTCACCCTACCTTTTCAGCTTGGAAAATGGGGAAGAAAAGACATGACCACTTAAGTAGACATCCCTGTCCTGTCAAACAAGGAATACCAAGTCCATTATAATGGCCATCTTGTCCCCAAAAGATTAATAAGTAAAATTAAATGTAAAATTATTTTGGCATATTATAAGCACAATATAAAATTGCATTAAAATAATTTTATCTTTTAACTTTTACATTAAATGAAGACACATTTCCTGCAAAGGATGATATTTAAATTTTAACTTTTCTGTGCAATCTTTTCAACAAGCTGTTATATGTAATCCCATCTTATTGCATCTTATGTTTGCAAGACTGAATATGCCTTAGGAAATGTAGTGTTGTCTTTTGATTGTGTCACTATGGTAATTGAATCCATTATTGCTGCTTCAAAATTCTGTCATGAAAAATTATATTAAAGATTAAATTATTCTTTCTAAAAATTATATTTTAAAGTAACTTATAGAGAAGGGAAAAGTCAGAAAATATAAACCTCATTGTCTTTGAAAAGTTTGAGCATGTTTACTTTAATAATGGTGGAGTGCAGAAGAATTGTGTTGAGGAAGTTGTTTTCCTGGTAGATTTGCCAAAGTGATTTTATTACGACTGTAAATAGTAAATTACAAAAATGTAAAAATATGCAGCTGTAGACTTATGATTTTGCACAGTTTGAAAATCACAGTTCTTTAATTTTTTTCAAATGCTGACATAACATAGCTCCAGATTAGTATAGATATATAATGAAATGCTGTATTTCTTCATGCATTTTGCACCCTAGCTTTTAGTGCCAGGCTCTGAAAATTTTAAAAATATTTGCATGATTTTCCCCGTTTTCAGTCCATTCAGAAAACAAGCTCCCTTAAATTTTAAAATAGATTCTTTCATGTAGTGATTGCCTTTGTCTTACTAACAAAGACAGACACTGTTAACTACTTGCAAAGGTCACGATTAACTTTTCCCTTCTAGCTGTTAAACTTTATGCCAGCCTGATACAAAAATTGACCAATCACAACAAATCAAACATGAACTGATATTCACCCTTTGATTTTGCTGAGTCAGCTGCACATTCACCTTCTCTAATTATTTACGGCTGATTTGAGGCCTAAGGACTAGCAAAGTTAACAGGCAAGATTCAAGTTACAGATAAGTAGAAATCAAGCTTTCTCATTAGATATTGTAATGCTTATATTACTATGTATTCTTATTAGAATGTAAATGTCTTTTAAAGAAATGGTATTGTGATAGTTACCTGTAGTTTATTCATTACTATTTTTTACTTGTGTTTTTACTGTAACTGCATCCTTCAGAAATTAAATTATTTGTGTAATTTTCCCTCTTTATTTTCAGATTATAATATTAATCTTGCTAAGGATGATACTTAGCATGTTAATTTAAGTTACATTATTGAGAACTTACTCCCTAAAATCTGATGTATAAAACATTTAAATATAGTTGCAGAAATTCCGGTGTGATTGAAATTTCTCTGATGAAGTTATAATTCAGTTTCATTAAAATAATATCATTGCATCCTTAACCTAAATGAGCATTTTTTTTTTTTTTTTTTTTTTTTTACCTAACTTATTTAATAAGCAGCATTTGAAATGATAAAGTGAGTTCCAATAAATGTTTTGTAACACAATAATTATTGTCTTTTTAATTGTCTTGAAGGAAAGTTATTACTTTCACTTCACAGTTCTTGTTTTCTATCAATATCAAAAGTTGTAAATGAAGTGAGGCTTAAGATCTTTCACTTTTTGATACTGTTATGAAGAATGTATCGTTTATCACTGTAATAAATGAAATCATTTAACAGGTAATTTACTCTTTACTTTTTCAGCAGGTGTTACTTTATTCTATGTATAAAACTATATTAATATGTTAGTTTAATAAACAAAATATATTTCTAGCAACATATAATTTGTAAATTGCAAAATTTCGAACTCTAGAGAAATTCATTAGGGTGCAAGTCAGCATCGTAAAAGTAATGGTGATTTTGTATTCTTTGGGTATTTAATGGCTGTTAACTATATGTTTTTTGTAAATGTGTGTGTTACGTTTCATATATATTAGGCTGACCAAATTTCTGTGAGACAAAAATGGTACAGATGTTAATCAAATAAAAAAATAGATAAATAAAAATACTTTATGGCATTGTTGAATTTATCATCATATTATTTCAGTAATAGAGCTGATATAAAAATTTAGGTATATTTGAAGGTAAACTATATTTTTTCATGGTTGTGTTATGGATATTTTTCTAAAGTAAATACTTACGCAGTATTTTTATCTTTCTATATTATATGATAAACTTCTTGTACTTTATGATCCAATTGTGAATCAAAATTTAGTATACCTTTTGTTTTCTCAGTTCTCTTATAGCTCACAATGCTATTTTAGAAAAATTCTGCACCTGTCTGTCAAATACAAAAATATTCTCTTAATCAAAATCGCAATAACACCCTTGTATTTAGCATATATATATTAAAATACTCAATCGATTTCAAGGGCAGCTAAAGATCCCTCCTCATCAGGAAAACGAAATTACTAGAAAGGGGGAAAAATAAATAAAGCATTGACAAAGGAGTCTCAGAAACACCTGGTCGTAGCCGGGTTTTGAATCAGAGTTACACTGGCCACTTTGCCTACTTTTACTGAGCCTGACTATCTGATCAAACATATAACACATAGACTAAAATGCAAAAAAATCAGCGAAGGCAAAAAATGGGGAGCGAGGGGCAACTGTACCTTCATGCGCCAAGTCTGAATCTCGAAAAAAAAAAATTTTTTTTTTCAATATATGTACACTAAATACAAGGTTGTTATTGCGATTTTGATTGTCATATTGGCGTGTTTCTCTTCTATTCTATATTCACTTAATTCAAGAGACTTTCAACTGCCTAATAATTATGTAATTCTTTGAATATTGCAGGTATCAATACAAATCAAACAATTTAGTAGTTGTAACCAACTCTGTAGTTGTTCTAGTATCCATTATATTGGTATGCGATTACTGTTTTTGAACAATGATTTATGATTGCCTAGTAAATGAAACAAACCTACAGCTTTTGTTATAAACAGAACAGAGCTATTGTTTTTATCAAAATGACCAAATGGCCAGAAAATGTTGAAAAATGCCATATCATCCAGTTCAAAATGTTACATGTGATCTGCAAATGCATGTATATACTTTTGATTAAATTAACCAGATTTCCCACATTACTTTTGCCATATTTTAAAAAGTTTATTGATTAGAGAAATTAAACCTTAGTTTGAAAAATATGAAGTGACAGCAATGCATTTTTTCAAAAAGAGGGGGGAATAAATTGAGAGATTGATGCAGTTAT